TGGGCGTAGTTACAATATTTTTCATACTACATTTATCAGTTTTAAATACACTAACCTCGCTCCTTTGTAACAACTACGGCAAAAATGTAATTAATTCAGAAAATCTTTTCAGGACCCAACCTTGATGTTTCGGGACCCCACTTTGGGTCCCGACCCCAACTTTGGGAAACACTGCACTAGAGCAAACACACTAAACCAAACAAAAGATAATATCCCCATGGCCTTTAGGAGGTAAAATGACAGTAAACTATTTTTAAAAGAGCATGGGGTTAATGAAGGGGTCCCTGGAAAACTTTYACCCTTGTAAGGGGTCCCCAGACACACAATGTTTGAGAATCCTTGGAGTAAGAAATGCACGTTCTTCTCTGGGTCAACTATACAGTGAACATGTTATTGGAATTATGCAAACTCAAAAAGCACCTTTGGATATTTATGAAAAACACGTATATCCTAAAAGAAAGTTGAACACAAATCATCCATTTTCTATCCAGGGGTCACTGGTGCCCATCAGGTGGGCTACACCCTGGAACGAGTCCATCAGGGCCAAACTAACCAGTTTAAAGCAAATATCTGTCTGGTTTGTATCACGGCGTAATGTACCTGCTGAATTTGTGCAATTCATAGCAAACCGACAAATGTGAGGTCGTCCGCTTTGTGATCATTTCTAAATGGTCTATTACCATGTGCAATAACAGGAAGTGATGTCAAAGGGGAATGTCTGCATGCCAACACAGCTTTGCTACAAAAAAACTAACAGTTTAGAGAAGAATTGGATGTTTCTTTATTTATAATCACTATCAGAGGGAAATGAGTCAGAGTTCAAATAATATTGTTTTAATAAATAAAGAGCAGTTTTCTTCTCCTTTGATGTCATTTCCTGTTTTCCTTTAGTAAGAAAATGTGACAAAGTGTGTAAAATTATGTTTTATGCCAAGGTAATTAAGTATAAAGGGGGTTTCTTTAACTTTTTGGTTATTTACGTTCCTTAAACACCAACAGAATATAACATTTACTCAACTAATTTTAATTRTCCTGTATAATCCTTCAAAAATCATTCAGAACATTTTCATAAACCACACCAAATGATTTTTTGAAGGCTTTGATCTGTTTAAACAGTTTTAACTGACAATGTCTCAGAGAGACCAGTCACAACATATTTATGGTTTGTATTCACTAAACATTATTGTGCAGAAAAGTAGCTGGTGTTATTTTAGAGGAAGTGGCAACATTTCAGGGTCAGACCAGTGGAAAGTGGTCCGATGGAGTCCTGTTGCTAAGAAGAGGGAACAACTGATGAACCACCTGAGGTTGGACACTTTGAAACTTGTTTGCAGAAACAAATGGACAAAATAAACCTYGAATTGTTCAAACTATTAAAGTTTATTCAGCAGTTTTCTGTACCATTAAAACATGAAGTAAAAAAAAATTACAAGATCACTTTGTGTTAGTTTTCTAACATGAACTGTGACAACAAAAAACWAATTTTAAACTCAAATAGATGACGTTACATTTTTTTTCTTCTCATTTGTAATTAATTACAGAAGTTCATATAAAAATGTTCCTGTTGTGATCACAGATCTTTTGACAGGGAGGCCTGGAGCTGAAGGCAGCTTAATGTGCATGTTTTTTTTTAATCACACAAACACGAGGAGAACATCCAAACYYCACACAGAAAGACCTCAGGTCCAAACGACACTGTGAGGTTTAACCACTAAATCACCACACTGTCAGAATTTTCTTTGGTCTTCAATTAAAAAAAAAGTGAATAACGAAGGTTCATGTGGAGCCTGATGACGATCTTCTAAAAACACTTCAACTTTACGCTGCAAAAAATGTCCATCTTTCCAAGTTTTAAAATCTTATATCAGCCAAAAAATCTTTTTGATCTTGTTTTGAGACTGATTTACTG